TCCGTTCAACTCATGGAGTGACGAGATGTGAAGATACTGTGCTTGGACGAGGCAAGACATGTATGGGTGCCATGGAATCGGCTTCAGGTATCCAAATCCCTCGTCACTCATGAGATGAGATCGGCCGTTCCATTCTAGGTCTCCAAATCCCTCGTCATGAGATGAGATGAGATGGGCCGTTGCCATTCTAGGTCTCCAAATCCCTCGTCATGAGATGAGATGAGATTGGCCATGCCATTCTAGGTCTCCAAATCCCTCGTCATGACATGAGATGAGATTGGCCCAAGGTAAGATCCAGAGGTTTAGGGAGCAGTACTCTACTCTACTCTAACCGGCAAGGTAAGATCCAGAGTTTTAGGGAGAAGTGAGTATACTCTTGCTCTAGAACTCTATATTTAGGGATGCTCTTGCTTTAACCTGGAAGGTAAGGATCCAGGCCTTGGTTGGTGGTTAGCCATACGTATGGATTGCCGTCGCTATAAGGTGGCCAAATCCCTCGTCACTCTCATGCATTGATTGAATCGGGTAATGCCTCTTATGTATTAAAAAAAAAAATTTTCTCAATGTTTTTTGTTTATTTTAATATTTTTAGGGTTAGGGTTAACAAAAATTCGTGAAAATATTAAAAAAAACAAAAACATTAATAATGTTTTTTTGTTTATTTTAATACATAATGACTGATGGACTACACTGCCTGCGCCTGTTATGTGTTGTTCTGCCCAACTGCATGGATGACAGGCATAACCTGTAACAATCATGTCTACAGTATCTGTTGAATATATTTATTGTATATATGAATATATTGTATATATTTATTGTGTATATTAATAATATATTAATCTACACAATAATATATAAATTATATATTATATAATATATAATGGCGAATGAAATCCCTCATTCGGTAATCAACTGCATGGATGACAGGCATAACAGGTAACAATCATGTCTACAGTATCTTTTGAATATATTTATTGTATATATTAATATATTGTGTATACTTATTGTGTATATTAATAATATATTAATCTACACAGTAATATATTAAGTATATATTATATAATATATAATGGCGAATGAAATCCCTCATTCGGCAATGTGCTTGCTGGGCACACCAGCAGAGTACGAGAATTAGGGTCTAGAATAATCCTTGTACCTAACTAAACCCTAAATTGGGGTTTAGGGTTCTTTATTAGAATAAACGGCTTAGCGTTTAGGTTTATTTATTAAAATAACTAGAAGGATTAAAACAAATTGACAAATAAATATAAAAATAATTAAACGTTTCTTTGCCTTTTTATTTGTGTCCGTGTTGCTTGCGGTTGTGGATCTGCTGCAGCTGTTGCTGCAGCAGCAGCAGCAGCAGCAGCAGCAGCAACAGCAACAGCTGCAGCAGTACTTGCTGCAGAAACAGGGGATGCTC